GAGCAGTTATTGTGTTGAGCGGAATTTTGCCCCCCCCCAGAATAGGCGGGGCAGCATGAGCACCCACGCTCAGGAGTGGAATAGCATGTTCGTGGATGCTCAGGGAGGGATTCTCCAGGGGTACTGGTACCCTGGAAGTACGTCAAAAACTACCCCTAGTTTTTGACGTACTTCCGCTACCATGTTGATGGGGGGGGGGGGGGCAACAGCAAAAACTGCTGCGTGGCTCTACCACCGTTTATTTTAATATGACTAAATTGCTCAGATTCCTACAATTATTTTAAACGTAGTAGATCATTGATGATGATGGCCAAAGCGAAGAGTAGTATATATAAATAAATATATTTGGAAATATACCTAACGATTAAAAATAGATGTGTATTTTATTTTCCTGAATTTCCCAAAACTACTATATTTTTGCATCTTTATTGTGAAAATACTATATTTGTTAAAAAAAAAGGTGGCAACCCTAGGCACATTACTCGTCCTTTGGTTGAATGGTCAAGGCTGTAATGAATAAATAAACCTGTAACAAATAAAATGTTTTTAAATTTTTTTATTGAAGTTATCACCAACTTGTGAAAGGTCGATTGATTTAAAATTTGCACTCTTATCAAGGATTGATGACAATATAATAATTTAATATCTTTATCCTGGTACCCTGACCAGGATCACCGGAATAATTCTCTCTAGAATCATTGCAGCTCGTGATCAAAGCGTGTTTTTTTAAGATTTCTTAACTTTTAATATTATTTATGTTCGTTTACCGATTTCTCGGAAACGGCTGAAGCAATTTTACTAACTCTTCTTGTCAACCGACTTCAAAAAGGAGGAGGCTTACAATTCGTTGGAATTTTTTTTTATGTATGTACACCGATTACTCGATGACGCCTGAACCGATTTGAAAAATTATTTTTTTGTATCAAAGGGTCCCATTTAAATTTTATCCAAATCAGGCGAAAGGTTTTTAAAAAAATTCTCAATAAATTATTTTATTTATACTCGGTTGTACTAGTAAACTATTTAGTAATCTGTGGTTGTACAAAGTTTTTACCTTTACCACTTGTATTAAATAAGTTTTACTTCAGTTCCGAAAAAAATATACCCCTAAAGCTGAACGCACATTTATCCGCGCCGCACGCGCCGCACGCGCCGTACGCGCCGTACGCGCCGTACGCGCCGTACGCGCCGAATTTTAGAATTCGTTGTATGAAATCATAATATGAAACCTCGCATATTACACCCGCACCGTACGCGCCGAATTTTATAAAATGCGGTAGGTATACGATATCGAAGGATGGATGCTGATGACGTCATATAGCGCGGCGCGTGCTGATACTCAGTGTTGGCTAATGTTGCCAACTTAGTGGATTTTCCACTATAACTGGTGGTTTAGACTTACGTGATAATTTTTGTATTTTTATAACTTTTAATTAACTCGTAATTAATTATACATAATTTCAATTTTTTTACATCGATGATCAATATGAATACTTAGTGATAAATTATTTAAATACTGAACTAAAAAAAAATTAATTAAAAAACCCAATTATACCTGATTACTTAATTATCAAAAAAATGCTTAGGGTGAGTGGGGGGAAGATCGAACGGTTTTATGATGAGATGAGCAGTGTTGTAGAACAGTACATATTAACTTAAACTAAAATTATATCGATAGTGAATAAAGTACAAAGAGCATATTTTTATGTCATATCGATAAATCCCTGTTATATTTATTCGAAACAAAAAAAAATTAATTACAGTGTTTATCGAAAGAAGAAAACAGGGGGAAAGATCGAAGTAGTTTCTAAAATCGTTCAAATTAATGTCAGACGATATTGACGGTCAGTAAGCTACAATTTTAATTGTCCTGACACTTCAGAACTGTCTATAATATCAAAATACCTTCAAATAACACAGATAACACAACTTATTTGTTTTTTATATTTCAATCTTGCCCCGCTGGGGAATGTTCAAAGGTAACTTGTAAAATGGTCAACGGAATGAAAAAGCAAGAACGGGACATGTCTTATGAAGTAGTACCAAAAATCCCGCAAAGTATTAAGTAGAATAAATCCGTACTTCAAGAAGTAGATGGTACCGGAAAAGAAAAAAAGTAGGACTATCTACAAAAAATGAAGTAAATTTATTTATTTAAAACATAAAAAATTTAATATTGATATGGTCACTATAAGATGTTGTTAGGTTAGCTAATTACGTAATAACATGAGACAGAAGGACCCTTAAGTAGGGACTGAATAAATTAACCGACTTGGCATTAGGTACATAAATCTCACAACTTTTTACGGTAGAAGAACTGAGTTGCGAGACTTGGTTCTTTTGTTTGGTTTTTGATGGCATATCATTTACAAAAAATCATTAAAATCGGTTAAGTGATTTCGGAGATATATAGCGTAATCGTCGACCATAGTGACATGGGATTTTTATATATTATAGTAGGGTTAGCAACGCCTTATCGAGTCTTTACAATATTAACACTCGAGGGTATTACGAAAAACTTTTATAAATGTAGCCCCCATTCGAAGTCCATTGTACACTACGGTCCGTCAAGTGTTTTTCCTAGCATAAAATTTGTTTTACGTTGAAAGTGATTTGAAATATTGTATTGTTTTAGTGATTTCGAATTTTAAAAACTTCTTGAGATATTTTGTTATTTTCAACAATATTACCAAATGTGCGAGGTAGGAAACACTAATGCGAAGATAATGGGGGTTAGAGAAGGTAATGGTATCTTTATTTTTTATAGAATAAGGGTGGCAAACGAGCACACAGTCCACCTGATGGTAAGTGGATGCTGTGGCTCATAAACATCTACATCTATCCTCGTTTGCGAATCAAAATGCAGATGCGTTGTCACCCCTGAGGACTAAGATAGAATGCCTCGTATCCAGTAAAAAGGGTCGCCGGGTCTCAACACTCACTATACGAAACACTACAGCATTAACCAAACTAATCTTTTCTTGGGGTAGATAATATTGTGCTCAGTTTTGTGATCACATGACATGTCATGGTTGATTTATTTAACCGACATCCGAACAAGGGTGGCGGGTCTGGCTCCGACGGCTAACTCGTGTCGTTCGATGTTCTGGGCGGTGAGAACCACCCAGTGACGCGGGTGTACAGTGTGTACGTGGTTTGGAGGGGTGTGCGGCGCGCCCATCTGCGGACTCGCTGCGTACCATCCGTTGTAGTCCTAAGTGTTTGTAGCACTAGGTGATTGTGTAGTTTGTGGGTGACTGGCCGGCGCCATTTCGGTTGTCAGAATTTAACGGAACGGGGGGTTCGATTAGAACGCTACGGGGCCTCCGGAGGGTTTCCGTGACGTTAGGAGTACAAGCCGGGGCTTAGCTTTCCATTGACGTCCGTCGAGTTGGGTGTTGATACGTATTTTTACAGAAAGGTTACACTATTATAAGCACACACACAAAGTTTTAACATACGCGCGTACTTTTTGAGAAAAAAAAATATTGAAATTCAATTATTCTTACAATGTTTATGTTAAATCCTACCGTAAAACTGGCGCCATTTTGTAATGCCATTGTCGTCGTCAGTAGGGATGTCGATTTCTAAAATATAGATATATTTTCCTGTTTGCATTTATAATGTAAATATAAATCCATTTTATGAAAAATAAGAAAGGTACCATAATAAATGATCTCTTATTGCAATTAGTTTTATTTTAACAGTACCTATTAGGGCACTGTGTGACATAAGTTTTGACATAAGTTTGACATAAGTTGAACCTAACACAAATGTGTTAGGTTCAACTTATGTCAAAGAACCGAATTGATTGACCCCGACTTCATCTGGTAGTACGAGTCTGTCCTACCCCTAGAGTGGTTTTATAGAGCCGGGGGCGCGTAGGGGGAAAAATTATAATTTATTTACTTTTAATAAGAATATCCTTACATCGCTACTCCACCCTATGTCGTCCCGTGGGTGTCAGTCACACAAACTACACAATCACCTAGTGCCACAAACACTGTTAGGACTACAATGGATGGCACGCAGCGAGTCCGCAGATGGGCGCGCCGCACACCCTTCCACACCGCGTACACAGGTCACAGGTCCCTTGGCCGGAACCGGAGGCCGGAACGATACGAGTTAGCCGTCAGAGCCAGGCCCGTCTCCCCCTGTTCGGACGTCGGTCAGATAACTCAACCATGTCATGTCATGTGATCACAAAACTGAACACAATATTATCCACCCCAAGAAAAGTTTAGTTTGGTTAGTGCTGCTGTGTTTCGTATGGTGAGTAGGTATTGAGAACCAGAGACCATTTTTACTGGATACCGAGGCATTCTATCTCAGTTCTCAGGGGTGACAACGCATTTGCTTTCGTCTTGCTTTCGCAACGTTGCACTAAAATGAATAATCTCTTTTATAGCTTCATCAGACTTAAGACTTCATCAGCATTTCAGGCCCGAGCCCTAAGTCCGATGAAGCTGTAAGAGCCACATAGACTAACAGCACCAACATCACAGAAACTAGACAGTTCCGGGCTTCTGAGCAGAAAATAAGTCCTATCTCTCCTAGTAAACCATTCTTTCCCTTCGGTTATCGGTTTTCCAATATTTATTTTTTTCACTTATCATAAGCCAGTGCTTGACCACAATCCCACCTGGTGGTAAGTGGTGATGCAGCCCTAGATGGTAAATCGCACTGTCTTATCGTAACAAAAGCCTATTCACTCTTGCCTTGCAGACGCCTAGATTGTATTCGGATGGAAAGATAGACGCCGGTAAATTATTCCACTCCTTTGCTGTACGCAAATCAAAATGCTACAAAATATATTGCCTCTTTAACTTACTGATCTGTTGGGTTATGTCGGTTACTCAAATTCTACTGCGGATATCTTTATTACGAATTCTGTTACGCACCAAAACTCCGAGCATAGCCCTCTTCATAGCTTCTACTATTCCATAGGTGCGATTATAAATATCTTGCTTGTGCTACAAATAATGAAATGTTAATAACAGATGGAGGTCCACCACCAAAGCGCGCAGTCCCTGCTATCCGACTGGACGCTGGGTTCAAATGGAATTTGCAGGTTAGTTTTAATATTTTTTTACTGTGATAGGTCTGAATTTGAATTTCGGAAGAATTCCACTGCTTACATACGTCTCTAAATTAACATAGATGTAGAACTTGCTGTGTTGCGGCCGCGTGAGAGGATTCACTGGCCCATATCATCTCGTGGGTGTCTGTAAGAGGCGACACAGCGAAATTGAAACAGGGGATGGGCTGCATCACGTGTTTTTATAGATATAGGTGACAAGCGAGCACACAGTCCACCTGATACCTATTAATTCCTGACAAGTCTCGTATTGCGTCAAAGTACCTAACAGTCGCGGTCTTTGAAGGTAGTTACAACGGCCTCGCAGTCGCACTAAGTGAGGCTTCTTGCGTGGCCCCAAACAAACACAATAAAATTTGTGACTTTCTTTTTCGGGCGTAAAAGTGATCAAATTAATTAGTCATCTGTGGTAAAGTTTTTTTTTTCTTTTTTATAGGATCGGGTGACAAACGAGCACACAGTCCACCTGATGGTAAGTGGTTACTGTGACCCATAGACATCTACATCTATCCTCAATAAAGACTCAAGATGCAGATGCGTTGTCACCCGTGAGGACTAAGATGGAATGCCTCTTTTCCAGTAAAAAGGGTCTGCGATTCTCTACACTCACTATACGAAACACAGCAGCGTTAAGCTGCTATTTTACGCTGGTATTCTGTGAGAACGTTGTCCTTCCCCGGTCGACCCATTCGTGCTGCAATCATAATATAGCTGCAGAAAATTTTAAAGGATAATATAAAACGGAATTAACTTTTCCAATTTATCTGTATTAGATATGTATACTGACTTAAAAAATCTTAATATAACAACAGTACCTATCTAAGGGTTGACAAACGTGTTCCTCAAACGAACCCATCTCTGCAGGCTCTCGCCAACGCAGCCGATGCAGTGGAATCTGGTGGCAAGTCGCCGGTGTCGGCGCTGAACGAATTGGGCGTTCGCGTCTCCTACTCTGTTCTGCAGCAGGGCGGACCAGCACACTGTCCTAGCTTTACCGTTGCCGTCACTGTGAGTAGCTTTGGGTGAAACTAATTTTACGGATTTTGTCGCATTTAATTCTAACTTTCATAGTTCCCGACGGAATAACGTGCTACTGAGGTGTTTGACGTCCTGATGTCATAGTTAATGAAGGCTACCTTCAAATTTTAAATACGTTCGACGGTTCCATGGCGCAGTGGGTTAACGTTTTTTTAACAGACTTCCAAAAGGAGGAGGTATTCAATTCGACTGTATTATTCTATGTGTGTTAGTTACCTCATAACTATTTTCTATAATAATAGTACCACCCTAGATCCTGCGTACAAAGGATGACTCTTTCAAGATCCGATGGAGGACGAGGTATAATAGATGTCCTCAACTTGCATAACAAACAAATCAAATGCCTTCGACAATATTTCTATCAACGCTCAGAACACTCACCTCTCCACGAAATAGTAACCTTAGCCGACAAACGCTTCACACCACTTAACCTTGCAGACCGAAATACACAACGCAACGAACAGATCACTGACGTAAATGAGAAGATCGCCTCATGGCAACAGAAGTCCCTACACGGAAGGCACTATCACGACCTGCAACAGCCACATGTCGACAAAAAAACGTCGAACGCATGGCTGAGGCGCGGTGAACTCTTCTCAGAGACGGAGGTCTTCATGTTAGCGATCCAGGACCAGGTCATCGATACTCGAAACTTCCGGAGACACATAATACGCGCACCTAACCTTCCCACCGATACTTGCAGACATTGCCACTCTAGTCCCGAAAACATACAACACATTACATCCGCCTGTAGAGCCCTTGCACAAACCGACTATAAACACCGGCATGACCAGGTAGCTTCCATAATACACCAACATCTTGCGCTTAAATTCAAATTTATACAAAAAATGACACCATATTACAAATATAAACCGGACATTATATTAGAAAATAATAATCATAGAATTTACTGGGACAGGACCATTATCACGGATAAAACTATCCACTTCAATAGGACAAATATCACAATGTATGACAAAAATTACAAAACTACTTACCTTATTGACATTGCCATACCAAACACCCATAACATTCAATCCACCTTTGCTGAAAAACTTACAAAATATCAAGATTTAGCAATAGAACTGAAGCAGAAGAACTGAAGAAAGCAGAAGCCATCCATATAGTCCCAATAGTTATCTCATCTACCGGAGTCATACCTAAAATCCTACAACGTAGTTTAGATATTTTGCAAGTACCCCAACACACACTACACCCTGCAGAAAGCTGTCATTCTCAACACCTGCCGACTCACACGCAAATTCCTCACCACTTCTTCCGTCACCTCCGCTTACACCATCACCTAACACCTGCTCACGCTTGGCTTCGGCCCGTGTGATTAGGTTTTAAGTTACCTCTATAATAGGGGGAATATAGATGTATAATAATAATAATATCATTCATTATCAAATATTCTATCTGAAACGTTTTTTTTATAACATTAGTGTCACAAACGAGCACCATAGTCCGCCTGATGGATGGTAAGTGGTTTCTGTGTCCCATTGACATCCACATCTATCCTCGATTAAGAATCATTATGCAGATGTGTTGCCACCCCTGAGGAGTAAGATGGAGTGCTTTGTTTCCTGTAAAAGGAGTTTCCGGTTCTCTACACTCACCATATGAAACACAGCAGCATTGATCTGCTATGTTACGATGGTATTCTGTGAGAGCGTGGTCCTATACCGGTCGAGCCGACCCATTCGTACTACAACCATGATATAGCGGCAGTCTCATTGACTGCCTCGTTAGTCTAGTGGTTGTGAACGTGATTGCAGATGATGAGGTCTCGGGTTCGAATCCCGACTCTGCCCAGAATCAGTTACTGAGTTTTTCTGTGAAGAAATTGTCATAGCAGTCAGGATTCAGGTAGTTGGCGGTGTTTCACCCCTGTGCCTCAGAAAGCATATAAAGCCGTTGGTCGTGCGCATGATCTCTCTCCGGTCGTGACTGATTACCGTCTAATGGGACTATGAGAGTGAGGAAAATACAGAATTCACCTGTATTTGGGCACACACTCGTGCACTATAATCCTGGTCTCCATTTGGGCGTTGCGCAAACGTGGACACTTCTTGTTACCGACACGGCATACCATCACAGGAAACCGTAGTTGATGTGTCCGGTAGCGGCAATCGGACACATTCGCCGGTTGCCACTTCTGGTCACTAGTAACAATTCGTTGCTTGTTTTCCGTCAGTTTCACGATGGATGTCGTTGAAGAAACATTACCTTTGTTTGTTGTGTTGATTACAAGTTAACGTAGACGTCGTCGCCGTCAATATTTACAGGCAAATCAACCACTTCAATGTCAGCGCCGTACATTTGTAAGGAAATTTTGCTTTGTGTTGCTTGTGTCTTCAACTGACTACTTAAAGTTTCCAGTTACCTTACACTGAACACTTTTTTATTGGCGGTCGGTATGTATCAAGGGGAAGCAACTGGAGGAAAAAATTGGAGGAAAGGAATGGCTGATTATATGAAAATAAAAGATTCACTGGTAGCTTGTATCCCGCACAAGACACAAAAGTGTCTACGTTTGCGCAGCGCCTTAGACTCGTCGTGACCAATATTCGGTCTGGAGGAAATTATTATAGTATAGCTGCTGCATCTACCACGTAAATAATAATTAGCAATTTGTAATTTGTACGAATTCCTATGTTTCTTAATGTTGTGTGTTGGTCAAATGAATGTTTCTTTATTTGTTGTTTGTTTGTTTTCAGGTGGCGGACATGACGTTCGAGGGTTGGGGGCACAGCAAGCGCGAAGCTCGGGCTGCAGCAGCGCGCGCCTGCTTGGCGGCGTTGCTTGCACGCGCTGGTCGTCTACTGCCAGCGCCTCCGAGACACCAGGACTTCACCAGCGACGACCCTCCCAACGGACAAGGTAAGTCGTGACAACCCTATATGGCGTACCTAGGGTTGTCAACTTCGCGATAGCTTATAAATGTGTTGAAAATTATAATATCTACCGTAACAAACCTAACTTAGTTTCTGGGAACTTCGCCATTTTTGGTAAGACTTAAAAATCTAGGACTTATTTTTAACCGACTTCAAAAGGAGGAGGTTCTCAATTCGAGTGTATGTTTTTTTGTATGTATGTTACGCGATATCTTCCCAGATTGTGAACCAATTTTGATGATATTTTTTTTATTCATTAGATTATGTTTCAGGGGTGGTCACATTTAAATTTGGGAAAATAATTTCACCCCTAAGGGCAACAAATAAAATAAATATTTTTGATAATAATTATAATAAAAAACTAATAATAAATAATAATCTTACTTACCTGCCAAGCGTGGCAACTGTGCCAAGTTCCCTCTCCGAGACAATCTGTAGGTGATGCCCATGTTCACGTGAACTTTTATGGGTAACTGAGGTAACAAAATATATATATTTTTCAACTTTATGTTTAATTTTAAATGTATTATCTTTAAGATCCTTTATTTCTACGGATTTTTTATGGAAGTAAGTGCAACAATCCAGTTTCTAGTCCACTTTATGGTAAGTGAATGCTTTGGACTGCGACCCATAGACACCTAATTTATCTTATAATACATACATAAACACTCACGCCTGTCACCCAGATGGGTAGGCATAGACTACGAATCTCCATTTGACACGATTCTGGCACACCTATCTCGCCTCCTCCACATCCATATATAACTCTACGCGTACGTACGTATACATGCTCGTCGGTTAAGGGTGCTCTTAATTTGGCCCATTTTCAATATATCGAAAATTTGCTCAATAAAACTTGGCCTAGAACGTCCCTTTCCGACTCTGCCGTTCACTTCTGCAACATAAATATGCTTTGTCTCTCTTTCCTCATACATTATTTCTACATGACCAAACCACCGAAACATTCCTTTTGTAATCCTGGTCACAACGTCAACTTGCAAACCACACCCTTCTCTTATCACACCATTTCTCACCCTGTCATTCAGATTTTGCCTCCTTAATGACCGCATTTCTACAACATTTATTCTACTCTCTTGCTTCTTCTGCCACACCCAACTTTCACTACTATACATTAAAGTAAAGACTAACACAGCACTGTAAATTGCCATACATGCCTTATTGGACACATTCTGACTTTTCACAATAGACTGTAGTGCCTCATTCACTCTATTTCCAAATCTACTGTCGATAATAAATCAAAATGCAGATGCGTTGTCACCCCTGAGAACAAAGATGGAATGCCTCGTTACCAGTAAATTCGTTAAATAAAATAAATAAATAAAAGCTCTCCTATTCTCAACAATCATCATATGAATACTGGTATAATATGAAAGCGTGGTCTCGGTGGAATTGGAAAGGGATATTGATGTGATGCGATGCGAAATCTAATAGAAATATTTCTTTACAGCGTCGGAGTTCCAGTGTCTCGAGATGAAAACGAAGCAGCAGAATGCTTTGCCCAAGCCCGTGGTGGAGCCTCCAGGTCAGTCCCTTAACATGCATCATCATCATCATCGGTAAGCCCAAATCCACTGCTGAACTTAGGCCACCCCCGAGGCATACCATAAAGTATAGTCCTGGGTCATTTATACACTTATGGATCTGAGATGTGGTCCTTCAGTGCTGGGCGTATGAGGAAGCTCAAGGTGGCTTAGCGAACTATGGAGAGGGCAATGCTCAGAATGAGGGCGTCCACGACTTTATGCCACCAGGGCGGCGCCACTAGAAAGTGAGATATAATATTTGACAGATTTCATAGCGGGGAAGTTAATTTGTTAGGAAAATGTAAAGGTTATTGTTTCTTTCTGCACTATTAGCTATATTATTATATATAAGATATAGAGATATTATAGAGATGTAGAGATCTTATTAATAAGATTAAAAATAAATAAACCAAACCACAGATATTCACAAAAGTAGAAAAATTAAATAATGTGACAAAAAATTAAGAGCAAATAACTAACACATTGTTTGGTGTATTAATATAATACTCTAGAAACTGATAAACTTTTATTAAAAAAGCAACTTCTCAATTAAATTACATTGTGTAACAAAAAATTTTACCTCAGTGTCAACTAGCGACATCTGGTGAGCAGAAAATTATTAGCTCTCATTTCTCTCCGTGATTAAAGAACGTACGCGGTAGAACCAGAGTAACCAACATAGCCCAACGGATCAGTGAGCTGAAGTGGCAATGGGTCGGCTATGTTATATAGCTAGAAGAACCGACAACCGATGGAGAAGAAAGGTTCTCAAGTGGCATCCTCGTACCGGTAGCCGAAGTGTGGGGCCGCCCCCACTAGATGGAGTGAATCGCTGTTGTTCCATTATTTGTTGTCGTTCGCTGGTGGATCGAGAAACTCCTTACCCAATGACACAAAAGCTTTGTACATGGTTATTTATCAAGGAGTAGCCAAATTTTAAACTTAAGTTCAAATATAGAAATAATGATACACTGTTATTGCAGTTTTTGAAAATACGAATAAGTAAGGCTTCTACTTTTATTTCAAATTATCTTAAATAACAGCTTTGAAAAATAAAACTAAAACTAGAAACTTAATTATCATATAGTCCTACTCCCCGCGGTATCGTGCCAAGAACGGTGGCTGCGTTTCCCCGCTGAATGGCTATACTTAGCCTTTGAGCGAGGAAAGGACCAGTCCTCTTATCACCAGCAGCAACGGCCAGCCGCGGATGGAGTTCCTTTAGGAACTTCACCGCACGTGGACCCCACGGACCGATAGTCTCTACAGCAAATGGCATAAATATATAGTCATCTCTCAGAGACTCATATTTGCGCCACTTAATCAGTTCAGCTGCCTCTGATGCCGCCCCGGCTCTAAACGAGGTACCCCTGAGATGAGAGGCCGCCAGAGTACCTCTCTCCCAAGGGACCAATGTCATACCGTCGGGTCTCTTGCCATCGTCTCTAAATATTCCACAAGGCTCTAAAACCGAGAGAACATTTATAGAGACAAGAGCCCTTCGGATGACATCGTTCAAAGAACTGTGTCGTGAAAACCTACCAGCGCTTTTCTTACATGAAAGTCCGTGGAGCCCAAACTTGTCGTCGCTGCTACTACAGGGGCACTAATGGGGTTGACAAATCGCCGCTCCTAGTCGGATTCCTACGCCAATGCGCAAGCTTTACCCATCAATAGTAATGTGCCGAGATTACTTGAAGGTAAAGCGTATAACCAGTGACTAGATTCCTTAGTCGAAACAGCTAAAGTCCAGTCGCGGAGCACGAAGAATTTTGTACAATGACCTCTTTACCTACTGACAGTGGTCACAAACATTTTTGTATTTAGTGCGGTTTACATGAAATATTTGAAGGAGAAAGAAAATTTACCAACTTATGAAATATAGTTATTATTATTATATGAATTATTTATTTAGATTTTATATTACAAGTAATAAAACTCTAGACAAGTATCTACTAATTCGGCAGAAAAAAAATCAAAAATCAGAATTCGATTCCTCTGTATCGGAGTAACTGCTTTCCAATTTCCTTTTACTGAAGTCTCCAAAAAAAAAAAAGAATTATTAATTTATAATTAACAAACACATTCACAATTGTACATACTATCAAATATCGTATATGAACGTGGCCAACAAACTTATGAATTTAATTTAAGGCTAACAGTTATTATGTTTAATTCGAATGTTACATAACTTTTATTTTCGAGTCATCGGTTTAGCAAAACCTTAATAATAAATTAAAAATAATATGTCACTTAACGCAAAAAATATCAAAATCTAGCTACTAAGGAGTGCGCAAAGACTTCTATGTACAACTACAAGACCGTCAATTTAGAAAAACCCTGCCAAGTGTGAGTCGGAATCGCGCATTTATGGTTTCGTTTTATCGTGCAAGATTTAATTATATGTATATAGGTACTTTTTATATTTTTTTTTTAGCGAATATAGCAATACAAAATCTGTGAGCATTTCAAGACTACTTGTTGCTATTATTAAGATCGCGCAAAAAAAGTCAAGGAAAACATGTTTCTTGTGGGGGTCTTGTTTCTTGTATTAGTTTTTATAGTGGCAGCAAAAATACACATTCTGTGAAAATTTCAACTGTCTACCTATTACAGAATCATGAGATACAGCCCGCCGACAGACGTACGCACTGACAGCGGAGGCTTAGTAATTGGGTCCCGTTGGTTACCCTTTTAGTACGGAACCCTAATAAAAATTGTGTCACAGCTATGGATCATGCAAGTGCGCGCGGGGTCGGATAGCTGGCACGGTATATATGCCACGCTGTTGTATTATCGTTTACAATTGTTATTGTTTTTAGGTAAATACGAAATAAAGTTACATACGTATCTTAAATAAACTACTAATCACGTTGACAAAGTGTGCACATAAATAATGACAGCGTTTTCTTGTTACATTGTTTTCGACAATCTAACACTGATTTTGTTTAATCAAAAGCGGAAGCAATGTTCGCGGTTTGCAAAATGACTTCGCAGTCGAGTAAAGAAGTTTTTTTTTATAGGAATTGGGGCAAACGAGCATGCGCCTCATCTGATGGTAAGTGACTACCGCTGCCCATGATAACTGGAACACCAGGGGAACTGCAGATGCGTTGCCGGCCTTCTAAAAACGACAAGGCTATTTCCTTGAAGGTCTCTAAGTCGTATAGATCCGGAAAAATCGCTGCTGATTGACGATTCTATTAGGAAGTTGTGTGAGAAAGAAAACTTCTAAATCGCACAGTGGTGGACCGCCAATCATCCAGATAGTATGGATGGGTATCGTGAGTTAAAACATAAACGTAAAGTTACGGAGAAATGACAGTAACTTTGTGCGCAATGTATTAAGCCCGGAGAGCTCGTCTAGTGGTATATCCTATAGAAGTCTTTGGAGATGCGTTGAGATCACACATGATTATCGGAGTATAAAATATTTTGCTTATGTGAGGTACTATCCTTCACTGCTGGCCGTATGAGGCAGCTCAAGGTCGCTCAGCGAGCTATGGAGAGGGCTATGCACGGGGTTTCTCTGCGTGATAAACTTAGAAATGAGGATATCCGCAGTAGAATCAGAATAACCGACATAGCCCAACGGATTAGTAAGCTAAAGTGGCAGTGGTCCGGCCATATAGCTCGAAGCACCGACAACCGATGGGGAAGAACGGTTCTCGAGTGGCAACCTCGTACCGGTAGACGAAGTGTAGGGCGACCCCCCACTAGATGGAGTGACGACCTGGTAAGAAATGGAAGGAAGTCGATGGATACAGGTGGCTCAGGACCGTGCTTTGTGGCATTCATTGAGGGAGGTCTATGTTCAGCAGTAGATTTATGAAAAGCTGTAATGATGATGATGATGATGAGGTACTATCAAGTAAGTGGCGCCACTGTTTCAGCTGTGAACGTATCGGCGAGCGCGGCGCTCTTCGGTCCCCCAGTACCGGTGCCGGCCCACAAGAGCCCCATCAACACACTGTACGAGAACTATCCCGGGCTCACCTTCATCTGCACCTACGGGGACGGCTCGCCATTGGACTCCATGCAGGGTGAGACGAAAAACTCTCTTTGTGTCTTATTTAATGTGACTGTGAAATTTAACAAACGAACTTACAGCCCACCCCATGGGGTTACTACATTCCATTGACACCTGCCTGTTGTCGCTGAGGATTAGGATGGAATGCCTCACAACTTGTAATTCTGGCTCTATACTCTTCAGACTGGAACACAGCCATGCAAGCTCTGCTATTTTTTTTTTATAGGATAAGAGTGACAAATGAGCACACAGTCCATCTGATTTTAAGTTGATACTGTGGTCCATAGACACCTACATCTATCGTCGATTACGAATCAAAATGCAGACTCGTCGTTACCCGTGAGTACTAAGATGGAATGCCTCGTTTCCAGTAAAAAGGGTCGGTTCTCTAAACTCACCATACGAAACACAGCAGTGATACTGCTTATCACTGCTATTTTACACTGGTATTCTGTGAGAGAGTGGTGATTCCCGGGTGGAACCGGCCAATTCGTGCTGCAACTATACTACTAATATAACAGCATGGCTCTACAACATCAATACAGCATACACTGTAAAACACAGTCTACTTGCTAGTTTTGTTCCTAGAAAAATGGTGATATTGACAAGACTCAATTGCTTCCCATTTAAAATTACATTAGTATTTTGATATTTGACATTTAGAGTTATGAATTTTATACATTTAATTTTAGTTTATTTAAATTCAAATTATTAACTTTAAATCAATTTACTAATTTATATACAGCATTATTTACTTCGTCATATTTTAATAATTGTCGTTTTAATTTGAAAATTAGTAAAGTATTATCAGCAAATAATACTATATCATGTTTATCTACTATTATGTAAGGTAACTTTATTAAGAAACAGAGAGGAGCCGAAAATTAAACCCTGAGGTACGCCCATTTGTACTACGTACTGGGTAACTTTTTTTGTACTACGTAACTCGTGATGTTAATAACAACTTTTTGCATTCTGTTACTTAAATATGAAATAACAAATTTAAGAGCATGATTTCCAACACCATAATGTTGTAGTTCTCCGATTAATGTCTCATGGTGAACACAGTCGAAGGCTTTAGATAGGTTTTTGAGTCAAAAATTCTCAGTAACAGTCCAGTTCATTATTATTCTATTATTATAATAAAACTCACATGACGTCTGTCTCGCGCAGAACACGCATCACGCAAAAACCTGTAAACCGATTAGGGATTTTCACTGGCAGATAGCTGATGTTATAAGGAGTAACTTAGGCTACATTTATTTTAGGTTTCGTGCAAAAAATATTCCACGCGGGCCAATCGCGGGGTACAGCTCTAGTATATTATATTATCGTTTGTTAATTTCTTTCAATAAAATATATGCATGTTTTTCAACAGCACCGCTTCAGCTGAGTCACAGTATGAGATTTAAAGTGGTCTGTCAGATCAAGGATCAGAAGTTTGAAGGTTACGGTGAGTTACATTTTCTAAATTATTAACGTGGTGTGTTATCACTAATTACCACTAGATGTCGCTAGTAAAGTCAGACTTACATTACGAAATTAGTGGCATGCATGGTAAAACTAATTTCACGCAACCAGTATTAACCTGTGAAATTAGTTCAATTAAAATATTACTGACCGACATAGCCCAATGGATTAGTAAACTTAAGTGGCAATGGGCTGGCTAAATAGCTCGAAGAATTAACAACCGATGGGGAAGAAGAAGGTTTTTCGGTGGCAGCCTCTTACCGGTAGGCGAAGTGTTGGTCGTCCTCGACGTTGTGACGACCTGGTAAGACATGCAGGAAGTCGATGGATGTCGGTGGCTCAGGGCCGTGCTTTGTGGCATTCCTTGGGGGAGGCCTATGTTCAGCAGTGGACTGTAATGAACATGAAGATGAAGATTAGTGTCTGGAAACCACAGTATCGCTGAGATCATGGCCCTTTAGCATCAAAATATAAAGCGTTTTGTAATGCTCACTGCAGGATACAAGAGACACTAATTTCGTTGGTATTTATTAATAATATTAAGTTAAAGTTACAGCCTATATACGTCCTACTGCCGGGCACAGGCCTCCTCTTATTTCTGAGAGGGTTTTAGTTAGTTTAACATATGTATGTATTGTACGACTTTCCTCTTGAATCATTCTGTCTATTGGTGAAAACCGCATTAAAATCCGTTGCGTAGTTTAACAAGACCTAAGCGTACAGATGGCGGGAAGCGACTTTGTTTTATATAATGTAGAGAAGTGTATATTTTTATAGGCTGTCCTGTTGTTTTATTTTTGGTTTGTCGGTTGGTGTGCAGCCATTTTCGCGTCATTTGTTTCGCGTCGCATATACGATGAAATTAGCGTAACATTAGTTTCATCAAAAAAATTGCGCAGAATACGATAGTGTTTAAGTTTTGTGCAAGAAATGCATGCCTAATGAAATTAGAATTACATGTGAAGTTGTTGACGAAATTAATGTTATGTAACAAGATGATGTGAGTTAGTGATATGAAATAATATCGACTACTCCAAATCAGATACACATTGAATACGACATTATATCCTCCTGATCCCAATTTCTATCAATATAAATAAAATGATAGAGGTTTGCAGTTGTGTGCGCATCACGGAAAAACTATTGGATATATTTCAATTAAGTTTTCTAAGTTTTATTTTTTACACACTTGGACTTTATTTATTGTAAAACATACACTTATTTTATTGGTGATATTTTCATTTAATATAAGGTTATTAAAGTTTTAAGTAAGAACGATTTTGTGATGTGTATTTTCTTGATATATCAAGCAACGGGGACGAAATCGCGGGTATCTAGTATAATATAGTATATAACAAAGTAGCTTCCCGCCGTCTGTACGCTTAGATCTTGATGCGGTTTTCATCAATAGGCAGAATGATTCAAGGGGAAGGTTTATACGTATAATGCATGCATATTATATGTTATATAATTCTTATATCCGTATGTATGTGACTGAACTCCTAAACGGCAGGGCCGATTTTAATGAAATTTTGTGTGCGTGCTTGATTAAGTTGATGAGACAATGGTTTAGATTCTCAATTGGACCCGGTAAGTGGCGTTGGTGTCGATATCCAGTAATCCAACCGTGCGAAGCCGGGGAGGATCGCTAGTTAAATAATATACGAAGATACTGGACTAGCATGGGTTGATAAAAAGAAGAAGAGACAATCATTTAACTTTGTGTAACTAATCATTAAATGCGGGTTGACATGTTAGATGAAACTTGATCCTGCATGAAATTGTAGGGTCGAGTAAGAAGCTGGCGAAGCTGGCGGCGGCGCGCGCGGCGCTGGGCGAGCTGCATGAGGCGCGCGCTGCGCCGCAGCGCGTCTTCACCTCGGCGCCGCTCCCCCAGCTGCTGGCCGACCACGTGGCCAGGTCTCAACACATCACACTTCAAATGGCCTCATCTCAAGCTTTTTCTATAGAATGAGGGTAATAAACGAACACACAGTCCACCTGATGGTAAATGGATGCAGTGGATCTACATTTATTATCGATTAAGAATCAAAATGCAGATGCGTTGTCAGCCCACCGATAAACATAAGTCTCCCCACTGATTGCTTCAAAGGGTTGGAAATAACATTTCTTGAAGTGAAAGCTTCGTTAGAATCGTTGTGATTTGTGAAACCCGATGAAACGAAAAAGCGACACTACAAAGAGACAAAAATATATATCTGTAGGATTTAGCTTGTGAGAGAAAGAGATAGAATACAATATACAGTGTTTATTATAAATTTATTTATATTGAAGTGAAAACTTATTTCACCCCGTTGAGCTATGTTTGGTAGGTGAAAAACTTATGGGATCGCGTCACCGATGACATGCTCGTGACGTCACGAACATGTCTACTACGCGTCGCGTCGTTATAGCGGCCTGTGTACATTCATACGCATATACCATATTTGATTTATCACTTCTGTCGGCAGTTGTTTTGACTGTCTCTGTATTTTTTTTTAAATTACATAAGCCCTATAATTATCCCACACCTGATACTGTGCATTCGTCGCATTGTCACAAAGTTTAGTTTTCTAAAAGTTTCACTTATAGCACGTGACTTGCACACGTGTTTTTTTTATTCGGCTCTTATCACAAAGATGCTGCTCTCGATCTCGATCTTGGTTCAGTTTTCCTTTTGTCGCCTCATATAACATATAGGCGTGATATGTGTTAGTAGATATTCTTACCCAACAACTGACTACACGGTTACAACTTACACTTTTTTTAATTGCTTCTAATATTCTTTGCCGAATAATTACGGCGTAAGACAATCTATTATATCATCATCTTGACACTATTGTAAGAAGCAATTGATTTTTGCATCGGCTCGACCAGGGTAAGACCGACCACGCTCTCACAGAATACCAGCGTAAAATAGCAACAAAATTTTGCCGTATTTCGTATGGTGTGTAGAGAACCGGAAACCCCTTTAACTGGAAACGAGGCATTCCATCTTAGCCCTCAGGGGTGATAACGCATCTGCATTTTGATTCGTAATTGAGGAAAGGTGTAGATGTCTATGGACCACAGCATCCACTTATCATCAGGTGGACTGTGAGCTCGTTTGTCACCCTCATTCTATAAAAAAAGGATATTAAACAGGAGATTGTCAACAGCATATTCTTGGTAATAACTCAAAATTATAAAAAGAAATCTATTTGCCAAAATTTCCCATACGTAGCGATTTGTGACAGAAGCCTTATTTCAGCAGTGGACTTGAGATGAGCTGCAATGAATGAATGTATATCCTTAAAATAACAATAAGTACACCGCATTGTACCCGGTTACCCAGACTTTTAGGCCCTTGTATGATAGTGCATTTTTCAAACTACCTTTAATATATTCTGTAACATAATTTTCTAATTATGAAATATTCTTTCAGATTAGTAAATGAAAAATTTAACGAGCTGATGCGTGGTGACCTGGTGCACTCCAAGCGGAAAGTCCTCGCCGGCATTGTGATTACCATCAACTACAGCGTGGAAGGTGCCAGGGTATGATTGTTTTAATTTTTTTTTACAATTCATTCTATTGGATAAGATGTGTAAATACTGCATAAAACTTAAAATAATGTATTACTTGTATAAATTTTATTGTTGAATATATTGACAGTGCATTTATAACGTAGGTGCACAGACCGCGGCCCGCGGGCCGCATGCGGCCCCCCGGTCGAATACTGGTGGCCCGCCGACAGCAAAAATAATACTCTCGTACATTCGAAAAATATTGAATTATATTCCAGCATAAAACAAAAAAAATATGTTCGAAAAGTAATTTGAATCTCGCGCGCGCGCTCTTAAGTGCGCTTATCGGTGCGCCGTGCATGCGTTGGTAACAGCGGTCGGTAATGTTCGTGCTGATCTCGGTTAAATTCGTTTTCTTGAGGAACCGCCGCGTCTGGCGGCGCGGCGACGACGGCAGCGCGGTGGCGGCTTACCCATGGGTTATATTGTTAGAGCAAGCGAGATAGCAATAGTCCCGAATTCCCGATTGCTCGCGTAGGTAGATACACGAAGCTTACAGAGTCGGTTTCGTGATTTCTCCAGTCAGTTTTCGACTCTATACGCGCGGTATAAAAGCCACGCTAACCGCAGCGACCGACAGTTCGGTTTTAATTTGAGTGAAGTGTCAATAGTTCTAGTGTAGATTTTAACTCGACTAGCCGGTGTCATATATTTTGATCCACATTCAACGTAGATTTCCCGTCAAGTGCCGTGTATAATTGTGTTGTGAAATCGTAAGTAAAACTCTGTTATTAATAAGTGTATCCCTACCTATTTAATCAATTATTTTTGGTAATTTAAAAAAGGATGGGTAATTTAAGTAGGTACTGTAATTGTTTTTAGGTGCTGTGTTAATCCTAGCTAGGATTAGAACGCAACATGGACAAGCCAGGGCCTAGTAAAAAACGTAAGGTTAAAGATGAAAATCGGCAGTTTCAAGAAATTTGGACTGAGAAATACTTTTTTGTATGGTCGCATAACAAAGTCATTTGTTTAATTTGCAAGAATTCTATTGCGATTGCAAAGGAATATAATGTAAAAAGGCACTATGAAACGCAGCATCCTACTTTTACCAAGTTTACAGGCGAATTAAGAAAGCAAAAAATGTTGTCTTTAAACGGGAGCTTATTGGTCAGCAAGCTATGTTTACAAAACCCATTCAAGATTCAGAAACAGCTACAGAAGTTAGTTATGAAATTTCTCGAATGATAGCAAAGCGAAGTCGCCCCTTCAATGATGGGGATTTTGTAAAAGAATGCATAGAAATTGCCGCTAAGAAAATGTGTCCAGAAGCAGCAAAAAAGTTTGAGAAAATTAAACTGAATCGTATGACTATCCAAAGATGAATTATATCTTTGTCAGGTAATATTGCGGAACAATTAAATGAAAAAACTAAGATCATTGAATTTTTTTCATTAGCACTCGACGAATCCACTGATATTAGTTCCACAGCTCAACTTCTGATATTCATACGAGGTGTTACTCAAGATTTTGAAGTCTTAGAAGAGTTATTAGGAATGTGTTCATTGAAAGATGAGTGTTCAAAAACTGATTTGGACTTATCAAAATTATCGGGCGTTGCGACTGACGGTGCTCCTTCGATGATTGGTATCAATTCTGGGCTAGTTACTTTACTGAAAAAGCATCTGCAAGAAAAAAAACATAAACGCTGAAGATCTCATGCAGTTTCACTGCATTATACACCAAGAAGCCCTCTGTTCTAAAAAAAATTAATTTCAAAATGTCATGAAAGTGGTAATTTCGACTGTAAATTTCATAAAATCACGAGGACTCAATCACAGGCAATTCAAACAATTCCTTGATGACATCGAAAGCGAATATGGAGATTTACTGTATTATACAGAAGTAAGGTGGCTAAGTCGTGGATTGACACTGGAACGATTTCTAAATTTAATAGAAGAAATTGGAATATTTCTGGCGGAAAAGCAAAGGGATGTCCCGGAACTTAGAAATCCTGATTGGTTGTGTGATTTGGCTTTTTTAATTGATATTACAAATCATTTGAATGTCTTGAACACACGGCCTCAAGGCAAAAATCAACTGATATCCCAGCTCTACGCTCATGTATCATCCTTTCAATGCAAGCTGACACCTTTCAGATCGCAATTGAATTCTGGAAATTACAATCATTTTCCGAATTATAAGAAAATGGCTGAAAAATTCAACAAAACCTCGGATAATTTCGGTTATGTAGAAAAGCTAGATATATTTGATCAATCTTTTCAAGACAGATTTTCGGAGTTTAAAAGTGAAACCTCTGTTGGACATATTCAGCAATCCTTTCACGATTTCAGTTGAAAATGCGCCAGAGTCAGTTAGAAAGTATCGACATTCAAAACGACCAAGATTTACGCAACAAATTCAACGAAGGAGACTTGCTGAACTTTTACCGCTGCATTGATAAAAATACGTACAAAGAGTTGCGCATAAACGCTCTGAAATGTGCCAGCTTATTTGGTTCTACCTATATATGTGAACAAACCTTTTCAATACTAAATAATAAAAATCGAAACCGCCTTGCAAATGAAAGTTTGGAAGCAGTTTTACGTGTTGCTACAAGTAAATTTAAGCCAAATATAAAAAAGATTGTAAGCACTATGCAGTGCCACGCTTCAAATTAATAAATTCTTTTTCAATATTAATACATTATTATCAATTCTTTATTGTCTTTAATTATCTATACTTCTGGCGGCCGGCCATCAGTTCATAATTTGCCCGAGTGGCCCCTAGTTATAATAAGTCTGTGCATCACTGATTTATAATAATAACAAAAGAAATTATAAAAGACAACAATAGTAAAACTTCGTCGTTGTTAATATATTCCTTCATTTTATTATTTATTTCTTTACTCACAAATAACATACACAATTTGGCTTCGCCACTGCACACGTTTTGTATTTCGTTCGTTTAGAGGGTTTGGCTAGCAAAACTTCCTCCACCTACCTCCTGTTCCTAGCACATACGGAGAGTAAATTAGACCGCCGCGTCGGACGGCCGCGTCCGACAGTATAGTGGTTGATGCAAACCGCAAGACAAAATTGTTGTCTTAAAACCGCAATTTAATCGCTAGAAGTTGGTTTTGTGCATACGAATTTATCGGGAAGAGTTCAAGTATCATCATAATTCATCGCGCGCCCAGCAGCAGTCGAAGACACGAGATACGTCGCCCATTGTCAAGGTAATGTGCTGTCCATTCCTTTTATTATGAGGTGTTTTATTTATTGTTCCTTATTCCGCAGCAGCTCATCTTCCCTTCGTGCCAGCCAACGAATTAAATCAATTTTTCGCAGGGGTCTATTGTCTAAAGTATATAGTACACGCGGCGCTCTCCGCCATTTTGTTTTCGTTCCTTTGAACCACGCTACACAACCATAATCGCATGGTCTTTCGAATCGCAGTCCACTGCTGATTGTAGTATTAATTACATATAATTTAAGACCTTATGGGTGAAACAAAATTTTGATATTGGTAGATAATTGCAAAGAACTAGTATGTCACGTTAAACTATGATATTGTGTTGAAGTCTAGAACCGTTATGCTGGATTGTTCGTCCGTTCAAACATTCAAATTTTTGATAAGCCCGGGCTATTTGTCACTGTTGCGTTTCGTTTCACGGTAGAAAGCAACACCATACAATACGTTTGTGTAGTTAGTTCTAAACTCACCACTGGTCCAGGAGAGTGTGTTGAGCGGTGCACAGCTGGGCAGAGGTCTTTACTAACATAACCGTTGAACTTACTCATGGTTTTTCTTGCAGGTGATAGCTGTTACGACTGGCACCAAGTGTGTGTCCGGGGAACATATGTCGGTGACAGGAATGGCCCTGAACGACTGCCATGCTGAGGTAATTACCAACACACATGATAACCACCACACATGATAACCACCACACATGATAACCACCACTAACGTCTTTATTTCCTTTGTAGCACGAATGGGTCGGCTCGCTCGGGGAAGGATCACGCTCCTATGCTTACTTACAATTTTTGCAATGAGGGTTATCCACAAATATGCCACTAAGACGGCGCAACTTAAGAATAAAATGCGCTCTCACAGAAGTTTTATTTTCAATCGAGTTCAAACAAGAGGAGGTACTCAATTCGACTGTATTCTTTTTTTATGTGTGTGTTACCTCCTAACTTTTTCTCGGTAAACCGATTTCGTTGATTGTTTTCTTATTTGAAAGCTGGTGCTTCTCATGTGGTCCCATATTGATCAAGGTCTGACCAGTAGTTTTTGGGTCATCCTTAATAATTTATATTGAAGTTGTATAATTATTTTAATTTTACCACTTGTGTACCAGTGAAATACTTGACAGATTTCATAGCGGGAAAAGTGAGTTTGTTAGATATGCGTAGAGATTAATGTTTGTTTCTGAAATATTAGTAATACTTTATATTCATTACATTAGACAAAGTGCAGATAAGTATTCCTGTAAGTAACAGAATTAAAGAAAAGTTAAAAATATGTAAAAATTTAAGAATATTGCATTGAGACACTGTTTTGTATATACTAGAAACCAAAGAGAATCAGTAGTGTAGTTGTACCACTTCTAGACCACCTGAGTCAGACGTGGTTCAACGACGTTCGTCGACGCCCGATCCTAAAAAAAAAAAAAAGTTTTGGCATGCTCTGATCACGAATCCGCGGTCCATTTTTGTGTAGAATGCACGGTTCCGGAGATGTGTAGATCAATTAGCTAATATCTAATTGATATCCGGTAAGGGCCTCCACCGTCATTAGCGTCCCATTGTTCCTATTTCTATTGTTCTATTGTTCCTTAATCACCTTCATTGCAGCGTGTGCGTCGACTATATCAGTGCTATTGTTTATTATAATTCTTTGTTTATACAACGCTAATCTGAATCATCAATAAAACACATTACATAATTTTGTTACAATTTTTATTTATAAAATACAAAATCTTATTAATTATTATCTATAAAATAGGAGCGAAACATCTCATCCACTAAAATATCGTTGTACAATGTGTTCCTTGTAAATATACTCGTAAAACTATGTATTGAACATCCTTGAAACTTATATAGTAAATACATTAAGCAATATTCGCCACAAACTGAAGTCCACTCATTCTGAATCCTATCAACATTCCAGTTCCATCTTTTACAATTCCTTTTTAAAAACTCTAGATGATATCGTACAGGTGATCGTCCATATGAATCAAAATATTGACCGACGTCATTCGTATCGATATATAAAGCTACCCAATGTGACCCTGGTTTATCATCTGTATCCAAATTACATATTATATACGTTGGTACGTGGGTATACATAGGCAGTCTATTAGCTGCATAAACATTATTTTCTAGACTGGGGTGAATCTTTTTCAGATGTTGTTGTACATCTAGTGTATCCATGATATTACTGCTATTAGTAGATTATTACAGTACCTAGCTACTCAATGAATAACATAGGAATGGTCAATTATAGTGATTTCTACATATTAAATTGCATTTTTGTGACATACAAATCGTACTTGAGTCATTGATCACCAAACAAAACACAATACGAAGAAATGTTGAGATAGGCAACGGAAATGTGAGATAAACTGATATGTTTCTAAATATTAAATTGCATTTTTGTGATATACAAATCGTACTTGAGTCATTGATCACCAAACAAAACACAATACGAAGAAATGTTGAGATAGGCAACGGAAATGTGAGATAAACTGATATGTTTCTAAATATTAAATTGCATTTTTGTGTTATACAAATCGTACTTGAGTCATTGATCACCAAACAAAACACAATACGAAGAAATGTTGAGATAGGCAACGGAAATGTGAGATAAACTGGTTGACGCATAAAGTAATTATCAACTCATTACGGAAATACTTTAGATTAGAATTTTTACGTACTGGTGGTATATAAGACCAACAAACGCAGTCATCGAGTTAGTGTACGGTCGTTTGGCTACAGTGGATCTATCAATAGTACATTTGTGTTACTTCAATACACCAAAGGCTATGGATGTAAGTGTTTATTCTATTGACTAAATTACTTTTTTTCTGTTATTTTCATGTGTGTGTATTATTTTATTTAAATATTGTGTATGTATATGATTAAGCCGTGGTAACTCAGATGGTTAGCGCTAGCTGTAAATTTCACAGTACGCGACCCGGGTTCGATCCCCGCCAGCACCAATTAAATTGTTAATAGCAATTTTAAGTGCTTATTACCACGTGCTTGGTGGTGAAGGAAAACATCGTGAGGAAACCTGCATGTCTGAGAAAATTTCGAAGGCATGTGAAGTTCGCCAACACACATTGAGGGAGCGCGGCGGACATTTCCTTGCTCTAAAACCCTCTCAGAAATGAGAGGAGGCCTATGTTCAGCAGTGGACTTTAATAGGCTGTAACTTTAACTTTTTTAACTTTTATGATTAAGTGTTAACAAATTGATATTAACATGATAACTGTGTTGTTGCAGAAATCATTGAGCTTCGATGAAGATACCTATAAACAGTATTACTACTCGCCACTCTCCCCTCAAGAAGAGAGTGATGACCTCGTCATTAATAATAACACATGCGATGGTGGAAAAAGAAAATCGCAATCGATTGATCATTTTTTTGAAGCTGAATCAAAAATAAAAAAGAGGAAGGGAAAACTTCAGTGAAGTGTGCACCAGTGCTTTTTTCCCCTCAATCATGGAAGAGAATACGGAACTATTCAATAGTGAATTAAATCAGGAGTTGTCTAAAGTTTGTGAAGAAATGGAGAGGGGTCAACTGTTCGATTCGTCATACGATGATGAGTTGTATCATCACTGTGCGATGGTTGAAACACAGTTTAAGTATGTAAAATAAACATTCATTTCGATCATAATTTACATATTGTCTTATACAGTTTTTAATAAATTTAAACATTTTAGCAGTCAACCACTACAACTTGGAAGAGGAACGAAGCGAACGTGCAGCAAAGAATCCAAGATCATCAAAAAACCAACAACGGAAGCAGAAGCGCATACCTCTGCAGGGAACAGTATCAGTAACGATGATCAAGTGGAATGTCCAACGTGCCATATATTTATCAAGAAACGGTATTTAGCTAATCATTTTAAAAGTAATGTTCATAAAAATAATCTTTTAAATTCACATAATTCTTTATCAAACGTTAGTGTTATTGAATCTGCTTTTGGAAATAGGATTTTAACTTATAAAATCAAGAGTAGAGTAGATCGTTCGACATGGGTAAATTTTGAAACTCCTGAACTATTTTTAAATTCTATTAAAGATGATATTTTATTTTTATTACAAGAGTGTATTCATCAACACATAATTTTTAAGGTAAACTTCATATTGCATGCTGATTTTGTTCAACAAACTAAAGATATTCATGATACGTTCGATTTTCAAACGCTTAACTATATTATTTGTCAAGGAGATGACTTAAATATTTTTCTTTCATCTTTAAATGATACAATTACTACTAAAATTAGTGCTTTCGAAAAAAAAGATAGTGGATGGAGTCTAAAAAACATAAAATCTATAGACATGAATGTTAATAAATTTAACCCCCTACGCGGTACTTCATACATAGATCTTCCTCGTGACATAAAATTAAAAAAGGCTGTTATAAATGTAAAAAACAAGGATTATTTTTGTTTTAAATGGGCGTTACTCTCGGCGTTATATCCTGTAAACAAACACACCGATCGGGTATCATCGTACGTTAAACATGCAAATAAACTTAAATTTGATGGTATTTCCTTTCCGGTTAAAATTTCTGACATAGCAAAAGTAGAGAAATTAAATGATATTAGTATTAATGTTTTTGGGTTAGAATATAATAAAGAAAAACGATGTAATTCTATAGTAGGTCCATTATTTTTAACAAAGTGTCGTAAAGATAGACATATCAATTTATTATTTTTTTCCAAGGATACAAAAAATCATTATTGCTATATAAAAAATTTATCGCGGTTAGTTAGTAAACAAATTTCAAAAGACGGTCACATCATGTACATTTGTGAAGCATGTCTACTTCGTTTTCCATCTCAGGAAAGGTTAAATAACCATGAACAATACGATTGTGCCCACATTTGTACAGTATTACCAAACAGTGAAACTTTAAAAAAAAAGAATTGGTTTGGTCAACCTATTTCAAATGATAAAATTAAATTTGATAGTTATGAAAAAAAGTTAAAGATACCATTCGTAGTTTATGCTGATTTTGAAGCATTTTTAAAACCAATAGAATCATGTTCTAACGATCCTTCCAAACCTTTCACTCATAATATTCAGAAACATGAAGTACATAGTTTTGGATATTATATAAAATGTTCATATGATGATAAATTATCAAAATATGTAACATATTGTGGACCCAACTGTGCACAAGTGTTTATGGAAAGTTTATCTAACAATCTAAAAGAAATAAATAGACTTCAAAAATATCCACCACTTCCGCTAACAAATGAAGACAAAAACCAAATTTCAAATGCAACCATTTGTCATATTTGTGAAACTGAGTTGGCAAAACATTTTTATGATTTTGAATGAATCATGTTGTTCGAAGATCAGAACACCTAGTTATATACCAATATTTTTATACAACCTTAGTCACTATGATGCTCATTTTATTGTTCACGCGTTAAACTTTTGTGATGGTGAAGTCGAAGTTATCCCTCAAAATAAAGAAAAATATATATCCTTTTCCAAAAAATTAAAAGTGAATAACCACGAAATTATATTGAGATTCTTAGATTCATTTAAGTTTTTATCGTGTAAATTAGAAGAATTGGCCAAAAATCTCAGTAATGATCAATTTCAAGAATTACGTAGAAATTACCCTAATGATGAAGATTTCTTTCGTTTAAAACGGAAAGGTGTTTATCCATATGAACTTATGACTAATTATGATAGTTTAAGTCTAACATCGCTCCCTGAACAAAAATGTTTTTATAGTTCACTCACAGATTCACATATTTCAAATGATGATTACAATCATGCTAAAGATGTTTGGGAACATTTTGGGTGTTGTAATATGCTAGATTATTCAAACCTATATTTAAAAACAGACGTTTTACTTTTATCCGATGTATTTGAAAACTTTAGAAAGTTATGTATTAATACATATGATTTAGACCCTGTCCATTATTACACAGCACCCGGTTTAATTTGGGATGCAATGTTAAAATATACAAAAATAGAATTAGAACTTTTAACAGATTATGAGAAAATTGCATTTATTAGATCAGGTATCAGAGGTGGTGTATCTCAATGTAGTAATCGTTATGCTAGAGCTAATAACAAATACATGGAGGATTATGATACAGGGAAACCAAATTCATATATCACATATTTTGATGCCAACAATTTATATGGTTGGGCTATGTCTCAATATCTTCCTACTGGTGGATTCGAATGGGTAAATCCAAATACAGAATTTAATGTGTCTAAGACATCAGACTTCGGTTTTATTTTAGAAGTTGATTTGGAATATCCAGATGAACTTCATGATTTACATTCGGACTTTCCTTTATGTCCAGAAAACATTTGTGTAGGCAATATTAATGAGAATAAACTAGTCCCAAATTTAAATAATAAAGATAAATATGTAATTCATTACAGAAATTTAAAGCAGTGTATAGAAATGGGGGTTAAATTAACTAAAATTCATAGAGTTTTAAAATTTAAACAGTCTCCCTGGTTGAAGATGTACATAGATCTAAACACAAAATTAAGAACTTTAGCAAAATCAGATTTCGAAAAAGATTTTTATAAATTAATGAATAATTCAGTCTTCGGTAAGACTATGGAGAATATTGAAAAAAGGGTTAACATAAAATTAGTTACGCACTGGGAGAACCAGGGTAAAGCTTTAGGTGCTCAAGATCTAATCGCTAAACCACAATTTCATAGCCTTTCAATATTTTCGGAAAACCTAGTTACGGTTCAGTTGCGAAAAACGAAGTTAATATATAACAAACCAATTTATTTAGGGTTTTGCATTTTAGATATTTCAAAAACATTAATGTATGATTTTCATTATAACTATATGATTAAAAAGTTTAGTAAAATCAAATTATTGTATACAGATACGGATAGTTTAATATATCATATATTTACAAATGATTTTTACACTGATATAAAACCTGACCTTTCATCATACTTTGATACCTCAGATTATGATACAAATAATATTTTTGAATATCCAAAATTAAATAAAAAGAAATTAGGTTTTTTTAAAGATGAAAATAATGGTAAAATCATGAAAGAATTTGTGGGTTTACGATCCAAAATGTACGCTTTTAACTTAGAGAATAAGACTATAGCCAAGGCAAAAGGGGTAAATAAATGTATCACTAAAAAGATGACAATGAATAGTTATAAGTCTTCTCTATTTAATAAAAAAGTGCAATATTATAGTATGCTTAGATTTAAATCAATTAAACACACAATTTTCACACAAAAATTAAATAAGATAGGTTTATCATATAATGACACAAAGAGACATATTTTAGATAATAATATTGAAACATTAGCTTGGGGTCATTATAAACTGCGTTAAGTGTTGATAGTTTTTACTTTTATGTCTGCGTTTAAGAAAATTTATAATGATTGTAAAATTATGATAATACTATAATATGACGTAGTTTATTACATATTTAATCATTGTTTTATTGTAAATAATTTAAGTTAATTGTTGTTTCTATTTATTTGAGGTTGAGTTAATTGTAAAATTATGATGTACTAATTGTTGTTTCTATTTATTTGAGGTTGAGTTAATTGTAAAATTATGATGTACTAATTGTGTTAGAAATAGTATACAGATAATTCTGTTTTATATAATTTTTGGAATATATATTAATTGTTTACACCAACACTTTCATTTTTTATTTCACCCCTTTAAACTTCAGACGTGTGTTATGTTTCACTTTATCCATCCGTTCACTGCTATTGTGGCAGGACCAAGTGGGTGTGGGAAGTCAAATTTTGTAACAAATTTCATAAAATCAGTTACAGAAATATGTAATTGTGATTTTAATCAGATCACATGGTGCTTTGATGAAATGCAACCATTATATAATTTACCAAATGTTAACTATCATCAAGGAATTCCAAATCTTAATATGTTTGATGGTGAAAACCCACATCTTGTTATTATTGATGATCTAATGAGAGAGTCCGATGGAAGAATTGTGGATATATTTACAAAAGGTAGTCATCACAGGAATCTTAGTGTATTTTATCTAACACAAAATTTATTTCATCAGGGTAAAGGACAAAGAGACATATCTTTAAACTCAAGTTATATAATATATTTTAAAAACCCTCGAGATAAAACTCAAATAAGATATTTAGCAAGACAAGTATCACCAGATAACCCAAAATTCATTGAAAATGCCTACAGGGATGCAACTCTAGAGGCGCATGGATATTTAATGGTAGATTTAAAACAGAATACCAATGATTTTTGTCGTATCAAGACAAATGTCTTTCCATTTAATGGTTTCTGTACAGTCTACGTCCCCACAAAAGAGTTTAAATACACCAAGAATCAAACAATTGAAATCATTGCTAAATGATGCATCGTCGACTCACAACGTATAAACATTTGCTAACCGCTTTGCATACGCTTAAACCAAAATATCAAAGAGCATTACTTAAAACGTGTGATGAAGAAGAAATTAACTGTATTTGTGAGTGTATTCATAACGTTTTACAAGGAAAAGTACCTCTTAAAGATCAGGATAAACAAAAATTGAATAAACATAAAAACATACTCCGTAAACTAGTACGTAAGTGTAAACATAAACTAAGAAAAAATATAATTATACAAAAAGGAGGGGCTTTCTTACCAACAATATTAGGTGCAATATTGAGTGGATTAGTGAGTGGACTAGCCAGTTAACATGGAAAATGCAAAGAAAATGATACTTATCGAACCTGGATTGATTGAAAAATTAAAACAAGAAGATAAGGTTAATAGTAATTTATCTCGATTAGATATTGAAATGCAAAATATTATGAATAGTAAGACGGAAGACCGAAAGAAATGGATATTATATTTACAAACACTGCAAAGATACCTTCATTTTACCGAAGAGCATCGTCAACCACTCAAATTACCAATTTATTCTGATACATCTAATGAAGATTCAAATGAGTCAAAAAATGGTTTTAAAAATAAAGATAGAGATCTAAAAACTTCAGTTGATATTGAATCTTTGCTGGAGGAGAATCTAAAAACTTCAGTTGATATTGAATCTTTGCTGGAGGAGAATCGATCCATTAAAAGTAAAGAAAATGATGAAAATCCACTTTACACACCAGCTCAAATACTCAGTTTAATACCAAAAACTTATCATAAAAAAGGGCAGTTATTATTAAACTTAGTTGAAACAAGTAAAAGTAAAATACATTGGGATAACGAAGGTACAGTCATAATTGATAGTGAAAAAATTCCTGGAAGTAATATTGTTGATTTAATAAATGATTCACTAAGACCCCTAAAAAGAAGTGATCCGGTAGGGTGGGTTAGATTTGCTGAAGCATTAAAAGATATTAAAGTACCACTTACTTATATTGGAAATCCAAGGAGATGTGAGTTTATTAACCAACTTCAAGCAAAAGATCTGAACAAACCCTCTGAGATTGAAGTTCAAGAGTTTTCTACACCGTGCAGTAGAGATAAAAAGTCTACAACTAAAATACGTAAAGGACTTGAGTGGGAAAAATGGACTCCGTACTAGAAGAAATTAACAGGATTTATTATGATCCATCTAATCCCGCTGGTTTTGGTAGTATTGATAAATTATCAAAAGCCATGAAGGGTAAAATGAATAAAAAGCAAGTAAAGGAATGGTTAAAATCACAAGAAACATACACATTACATAAACCCATTCGAAAAAAATTCCCGCGTAATAGGTACATTCTATCAAATATTAATGAACTGTGGCAAGCTGATTTAAGTGATATGCCAACTTATTCTCAATATAATGATGGTTTCAAGTATATACTTTGTATTATTGATGTATTTAGTAAATATGCTTTTGCAAGACCAATGAAAAAGAAAAACTCAGAAACAACTAAAGAATGTTTTGAAAGTATATTTACTGAAAGTAATTTAACACCTACTCACATACAATCCGATAAAGGTACAGAATTTGTTTCAAAAGATGTACAAAAATACTTTATATCCAAAAAGATTAATTACTATACCACTAACAATCCTGACATTAAGGCCAGTATTGTTGAACGATTTCAAAGAACACTAAAAATGAAAATGTGGCGTTATTTCACTCATAATAATACTTATAGATATATAGATGTTTTACAAGATTTAATATACTCTTATAATCACAGCTTTCACTCTAGTATTAAGATGTGCCCATGTGATGTAAATTCCAACAATATTATGACAGTTTGGACTAATCTTTATGATAGACGGTCAAAAAAACTTTCTTTAGAAAATCCTAAACCAAATTTCAATGTGGGTGATTATGTTCGAATAACTAAATATAAACATGTATTCCAAAAAGGATATGAATCAAATTGGAGTGATGAAATATTTATTATATCTTCAATAATTGATAGATCTCCATGGGTTGTTTATACAATAACAGATTTACAAAATGAACCAATAATTGGTACTTTTTATGAAAGAGAATTACAGAAAATCACTTACAACCCCACCTCACAACATAAAATAGATAAAATAATTGACACTCGTTATTCAGGTAACAGAAAAGAAGTATTAGTGAAGTGGAAAGGTTATCCAGATAAATTTAACAGTTGGATTTTAGCTTCTAGTTTAAAAGAAATATGAATAAAGAAAGTTTCTATTTAACTTTGCTCAGCAATAGTTCAATGGAATACTTTCCTGATAACAAGACCACAAATTTTTCAACGAAATTACCAAAAGCTATAAAATTAGAAGGTGAATGGTCGGTTGGAGTTGTCGAGTTTCAATATCCATGTACCATGTTTACTGTTCAAGACCATGAAAATGTTATATACATTACAAAATCTATGTTAATGCCTAATGAAGATAAGCCATCTACAGTGTACTACAAAAAACATATTCCAGCTACCAACTATGATAACGTTGAGCATATTTTAAGAGTGTTAAATAGTATCGGAGAGAACTTGAAATTTCGCTATGATGAAATAACAAAATTTGTGTCTATTTCGGTATTGGATAAAAATATAACATCCGTAACATTATCACCCAAATTAAGTTTACAGCTAGGTTATGAACCAAATAAAAATCTCCTAGAGAGAAATTTTGGAAAGTGTCCTGCTAATTTACACTTAGGGTTACCATCTCAACTATTTCTATATTGCGACATTATCGATCCTCAGATTGTGGGTGATGTTATGACTCCTTTATTAAGAGTCATTTCATTAGATCCTACAAAATACATTTATGGTGCAAATAAAATGCACGTTTTCTCTCAACCTCACTACTTACCTGTTATGCGAAGAGAGTTCGATACGTTGGAAATAGTTATAAGATCGAGTACAGGACAAAAAATATCATTCCAGTTTGGAACCGTGTGTATTAAACTACATTTCCGAAAATTATAATAATGAATTCTCTTCGTGATCATCATAAATGTCCATATGAAAATTATTATACACATCAAGCTGGATCAGGAGTTGGAGTAATTTATAAGGGTTCACTAGCTTCTTAGGGGGGTTATTCAGATCAGTTTTACCTTTACTTTCAAGTGGTGCTCGAGTGATTGGTAAGGAGGCATTAAGCGCTGGAGTAGGACTTTTATCGGATATGGTTCAAGCCCGTCCTATGGAAGCCTCAATAAAAGATCGTCTAAAGCAAGTTAGTACGAATTTAAAACGAAAGGCTGATGAGAAAATTGATCAATTTAACATGACTGGATCTGGGTATAAAACTAAAAGAAAACGATTGACATCGTTCATTCCACCATTAACTGCTAAAGTGAAAGCTGCGAAAAAACTTAGTCTAAAACCAAAAAATATCAAAGATATATTTTCAAACTAAATATGTCTTTCCTTCATAATCATTCTTGCGAGTGCGTTAAGTCAGAATTGGATTTGTTTGCACTACCGTCTACACAAACTAGCATTGAAAATGGATTGTGGATTCATTATAAACCAATTTCATCTCTTGGTGATGATGGACCTATCGAGTTTCAAGTTCCTGGGACCGGCGATGACTACATAGATTTGTCTCATACATTACTCCACATAAAGGCAAAAGTATTAAATCAAGATTCAACTAACTTGGTATCTACTACAATAGTAGCACCTGTAAATAATTGGCTGCATTCACTTTTTAGTCAACTTGATGTTTATTTAAACCAAAAACTTGTATCACCACCTAATAATACCTATGCATATCGAGCATACATGGAAACCCTTTTAAACTATGCCCCTGCTGCTAAACAATCTCATCTTACTTGTAGTCTTTGGTATGAGGATACAGCAGGAAAAATGGATTCTACAGATGGGAAAAACATAGGATTTGTTAAAAGACAGGAATTGATTAGTGAAAGTAAGGAAATAGAAATGATTGGTCATCTTCACGGTGACATTTTTAACCAAGATAAATTTTTAATTAATGGTGTTGAAATGAGTGTTAAATTGGTTCGATCAAGAGAGAGTTTTAATTTAATTGTTGGGTCGAACGATGTAAAGTTTAAAGTTTGCATTACGGACGCAACTCTTATTGTTCGACGAGCACGAATTAATCCAAGTGTATTACTCGCACATCAAAAAGTTTTAGCTTCTACCACTGCTAAATATCCTATTACTCGAGCTGAAGTAAAAGTTTTAACAATTCCTTCGGGTGTTCAAGGAAAAACTCTTGATAATATATTTTTAGGACAGGTACCGAAAAGATGTATAATTGGATTTGTGAACAATTCTGCATTTAATGGTTCCCTTACTAAAAATCCATTTAACTTTGAAAACTATGGTATTAATTCTTTCAGCTTATATATTGATGGTCAACAAATACCTTCAAAAGCTTTGCAACCATCTTTTAATAATAGCATATTTACATCAGCATATCATACTCTATTCTCGGGAACTGGTATTCACTTTCTTAATGAAGGAAATGGAATCTCTTGTGAACAGTATGGCAAAGGTTACTGTCTATTAGCATTTGACTTAACTCTTGATTTATCAGCTAACTCATCAACTCATTGGAATCTCATAAAGCATGGTAGTGTAAGAATAGAAGTACGATTTGAATCCTCATTAATACAAACAATTAACTGTATAGTTTATGCTGAGTTTGATAATATTATTGAGATAGATAAAAACAGAAATGTTACTGTAGACTATAGTAGTTAAGGTTATAATATGTGTTGTGTGTTAGATTTTATGTGTTATGTGTAATGCATTTTGTGTGTATGTAACTATGTGAAACGTTATAAAATTAAATAAAACAAATTGTATGCAATATAGTTTTTTTATTTCTTTATAAATCTTCTATTTAATCTAATACAAAACACTGTTCGAGTTGAAATTTTACATAAGCACACTGACTAAACCACTGAACATGCTGCTGCCAAGGATCATCATCATCTTCCCAATCTTTTAAACCACCACCACAATGGAAACACTTGGTCCCGTCTGCATGGCCAGTATAAAAGAAACCAGCTTCTGCAAGATCTTCAGGTTTCTGTCGCATAACTAGAGGCCAGTTTTCGAAACTAAGCAAACGGCTAGATTTTGAACTGAAGAATGGATATTCAGCTCTTGAGTACTGCATACTCTTCTCGTTTTCTTCTCCACTCAGTGTTGTAGTTTTGTTATTCAATGATGTGTTTTGTACACGTATGCCACACTCATCTCTTCCTTCCGCTCTTGTCTTCCTGTAATTGAAGTAAACAGAATCACATTCACTAATGATCAGCTAATGACTGTCATTGTTAAAAAAGTATTTTTTAACTTTTTCACTTTCTGCTATTGTCTTTGTTATATTGTATACGAGGGCGTTTGTGTTGTCGTAGATGCTATCCTTATTAGTCTTTACGTAATATTTAATTCTAGTGGAAGCATGTTTCCAATGATCAGTAGTTGGAATCTTGGATAGCTTCTTCATATCGTACATTTCAATTTTGATGAGATGCGTCGCTTGGTCTCCGTCGTCAGAATTAGTAGAAATGTATGATACACCATCTCTAGCGGCTCGTGCTACGGTTGATGATAACAGCTTCCTCTTTTTTATTTTTGATTCAGCTTCAAAAAAATGATCAATCGATTGCGATTTTCTTTTTCCACCATCGCATGTGTTATTATTAATGACGAGGTCATCACTCTCTTCTTGAGGGGAGAGTGGCGAGTAGTAATACTGTTTATAGGTATCTTCATCGAAGCTCAATGATTTCTGCAACAACACAGTTATCATGTTAATATCAATTTGTTAACACTTAATCATAAAAGTTAAAAAAGTTAAAGTTACAGCCTATTAAAGTCCACTGCTGAACATAGGCCTCCTCTCATTTCTGAGAGGGTTTTAGAGCAAGGAAATGTCCGCCGCGCTCCCTCAATGTGTGTTGGCGAACTTCACATGCCTTCGAAATTTTCTCAGACATGCAGGTTTCCTCACGATGTTTTCCTTCACCACCAAGCACGTGGTAATAAGCACTTAAAATTGCTATTAACAATTTAATTGGTGCTGGCGGGGATCGAACCCGGGTCGCGTACTGTGAAATTTACAGCTAGCGCTAACCATCTGAGTTACCACGGTTTAATCATATACATACACAATATTTAAATAAAATAATACACACACATGAAAATAACAGAAAAAAAGTAATTTAGTCAATAGAATAAACACTTACATCCATAGCCTTTGGTGTATTGAAGTAACACAAATGTACTATTGATAGATCCGCTGTAGCCAAACGACCGTACACTAACTCGATGACTGCGTTTGTTGGTCTTATATACCACCAGTACGTAAAAATTCTAATCTAAAGTATTTCCGTAATGAGTTGATAATTACTTTATGCGTCAACCAGTTTATCTCACATTTCCGTTGCCTACCTCAACATTTCTTCGTATTGTGTTTTGTTCGGTGATCAATGACTCAAGTACGATTTGTATAACACAAAAATGCAATTTAATATTTAGAAACATATCAGTTTATCTCACATTTCCGTTGCCTATCTCAACATTTCTTCGTATTGTGTTTTGTTTGGTGATCAATGACTCAAGTACGATTTGTATATCACAAAAATGCAATTTAATATTTAGAGACATATCAGTTTATCTCACATTTCCGTTGCCTATCTCAACATTTCTTCGTATTGTGTTTTGTTTGGTGATCAATGACTCAAGTACGATTTGTATGTCACAAAAATGCAATTTAATATGTAGAAATCACTATAATTGACCATTCCTATGTTATTCATTGAGTAGCTAGGTACTGTAATAATCTACTAATAGCAGTAATATCATGGATACACTAGATGTACAACAACATCTGAAAAAGATTCACCCCAGTCTAGAAAATAATGTTTATGCAGCTAATAGACTGCCTATGTATACCCACGTACCAACGTATATAATATGTAATTTGGATACAGATGATAAACCAGGGTCACATTGGGTAGCTTTATATATCGATACGAATGACGTCGGTCAATATTTTGATTCATATGGACGATCACCTGTACGATATCATCTAGAGTTTTTAAAAAGGAATTGTAAAAGATGGAACTGGAATGTTGATAGGATTCAGAATGAGTGGACTTCAGTTTGTGGCGAATATTGCTTAATGTATTTACTATATAAGTTTCAAGGATGTTCAATACATAGTTTTACGAGTATATTTACAAGGAACACATTGTACAACGATATTTTAGTGGATGAGATGTTTCGCTCCTATTTTATAGATAATAATTAATAAGATTTTGTATTTTATAAATAAAAATTGTAACAAAATTATGTAATGTGTTTTATTGATGATTCAGATTAGCGTTGTATAAACAAAGAATTATAATAAACAATAGCACTGATATAGTCGACGCACACGCTGCAATGAAGGTGATTAAGGAACAATAGAACAATAGAAATAGGAACAATGGGACGCTAATGACGGTGGAGGCCCTTACCGGATATCAATTAGATATTAGCTAATTGATCTACACATCTCCGGAACCGTGCATTCTACACAAAAATGGACCGCGGATTCGTGATCAGAGCATGCCAAAACTTTTTCTTTTTTTTTTTAGGATCGGGCGTCGACGAACGTCGTTGAACCACGTCTGACTCAGGTGGTCTAGAAGTGGTACAACTACACTACTAGAATCTGAGCCGAAAATCAAGATAAGGGCAGACAGTGATATATTTATATGGAAATATACACTGGCTTACTACTAAATAGCCGGCGGGTCTACAACAAAATTCACGTAATAAAAAATCTTTCCAACTCAACTTATATAAGCGTAGGTACATGTATAGAAATATAAAATAACTATAACATCCTAATGCAAACCATATTGTCATTAGAAAACGGCTCAATATAACTCCAATCGTAGTTCACCAATTGAAAACTTCTGCCTTCATTTCACTATTTCAGTTTATCAACTTTATTGTACACTATTTCAATCTGTCAACTTTATTGTACATTTAATTAACTTCAAACTCAATTAGATCCCCGTTAATCGTAATCAAACACGTGACACACGGCACAACTAATGAACGGTTGATCAAAGTTCAACTTCCGTTTTCACTTAGCAACAAATTATTTCTAGAAACCGAACGCGACCTTCTCTCGGGTCACAAAGTTCCGCGTTCCACACAAGAAACTAGAATTCTTTCGTACGATATTAATAGGCCACACAAGCAAATGAAATATTGCAAATGCGCTTCAAAATGCAATCACTATACAAATTGACGTAAATTACTTGCAAACAAAGGTAAGTTAATTTAATAACTCAACACTTAGACAGACCTCGTTATCGCGTAAACGCACTAAAATGATAACACAAAATAGAAGCGATCTTAAAGCGACCTCACGAGTCTAGCGAAGAACCGGCGTCCGCGCAAACAATCTATTTTTCTAGACTCAACAAAACTCCTCGTCGTTGCATAAATTTGCTAACAAAAACTGACACTATTTAGAGGTTATATGGTACGCGACCACGCCTTTCTAGTGACTGCGCTGCATTGTTTCGACTACCGACGCGGCACGCCCAAAACTAACTCTGCTCGCGCGAACGTCAAACTGGTATGAATGCACCGAGCCGAGCGCCCTCTGGCGTCAATTCTTAAAATTAGCGTTTGGCGCGAACATAGGCAGTAACTTTTCTTTTAGTTTTATACTCTACAAAATAAATGTTATAAATTAATGTCACAAAGCACGCTTTACTTTGTGATATGTTAGTTGCTAATTAACCTGCACTCTAAAAGCAACCTTATTTCATTCGAAATATGTTTTCATTTAAGGTGGCAGCCCGTCGTTGTCTCCAGAGGCATCTGTACGCTCAGCTTCTGATGTATGCGTCTTCACCAGGTAAGAATTCTCATGCCGTAGTCTTGAGAGTTGTTGACACCTCACTTAGTGATAGAAATCTTTAACGTTTCTGCTTGGTTGGTTATAACGCCATCTATTGGAATTTATGAGTTATATTTTATAGTATAGGGTGACAAACGAGCACACAGTCCACCGGATGGTAAGTGGTTACTGTGGCCCATAGACATCTACATCTATCCTCGTTTGCGAATCAAAATGCAGATGCGTTGTCACCCGTGAGGACTAATACGGAATGCCTCTTTTCCAGTAAAAAGGGTCTCCGGTTCTCTACACTCACCATACGAAACACAGCAGTCTTAAGCTGCTATTTTAACGCTGGTATTCTGGGAGAGCGTGGTCCTTCCCCGATCGAGCCGACCCATTCGTGCTACAACTATACAACTAATATAGCTGCAGCATGGCTCTACCACATGAGTAAAGAGACTGTACAGAGGCAAAGCTTATAAGCATCTTTCTAAACATCTTATTGAAGACAATACTAACTAGTAGACATGTTGGTTCCTGGCAGTTAACACCTGCCTGTCTGACTCTTCTATCTTGATTGAGACGTCTTGTAAATATAAATTAATTTAATTTGTTCTGATTTTAATTCTTCATGAAGTTTTATTAAAGTTTTTGTAGATACTTGAAATCTGTGAATGAATTTTATGCTATTTGTTACGTCTTTCTGCCTATCACTTCTTATTGATTTTAAGTTCCTGAAAAAATATTACATCGAAAATCTCTTTTATATTTATCAGGAAAACGCAGTGTACTTGAGTGTAAGAAATCAAACAAATTATGAATTTTATTTACAAAATCAGCGGTATCTCTTGCGGTAACCTCGATAAGATTTAAATCTACGTAGGTATTGGTAAACCATATTTACACTTTTTTAGAAAAATAAAATTTGACACTTGATATTTTTTACACAACCCCGAGTTTGAGCACTGGCCGAGCAGGTTTAAAGCAGTTTCTCCCTGTACGTGACGAGCCGCCAGTGCTCACGCACACATGCGTCTCAAGCTTGTATTAGTGTACCGTACCTATCACAGCGCGGTTGTATGAAGCTTTGCCTCTGTATGATACGGTTTCTATACTTATGTGGCTCTACCACGTGTAAAATTATATTATGTAGTTTCATACCAGGGGATAGAGCAGCAGACCTGTTCGCTAATTGTGTTGACAATCAAATTAAATCGTTACTGTACGATATGGTACAAAAAATTAAGCTTTAATATTCATTAAGTATAAAATTTTCAAGATTAAGAGTCGAAAAAGTAAAGATATATTGAATAATTAATTTGTACAGTCTGACTTAAACAAGATGGCTATACTGCTATCTATCGGAAGTCATGAGGTCTTTCAGGTGTTTCCTATTGTTTCCTCTTACGGTACCTACGGGACGAAATATTGTGATAGTTTCTGTAACGCCGTCACCCACGGCTTAAATTTGTTCATTGAATAAGGGTGATAAACGAGCACATTAGTCCACCTGATGGTAAGTGTATGCTGTGGCCTATAAACATTAATACTCAATTAAGAATCAAAATGCAGATGCGTTGTCACCCCTGAGGACTAAGCCTGTAAAAAGGGTCTCCGGTCCTCTTCACTCACCATTTGAATCAAAGAAGCATTATTCTTCTGTATTACGCTTGTTTTCTGTGAAAGCTTGGTCGTAGTTCAGTCCTGCTATCCTATTCGTGGGTTCTACCATCTAAAGACAAATAAAAATTGGAATGAACGTTCAGTGAGTGAAGTTGACGGTGAACCAGATCATGTTATCCAGCGCCTATGGTATATGTTCTGCAAATTCCCCCTTTCAGATCCCCGTAAGCCCATACCGCAATCAGACCTGGAGCCATTGCCTGACGGCGGGTACCAGTTGAAGCTGGACCGTCAGATACACTTATACGTCAGCACGGCGCCTTGTGGAGACGGACGGATCTTCAGTCCACACGAGCATAATGAAGCTGAGCCGGACAAACACCCAAACAGGTAGGTTCCACTATTCTCTACCCTCTAATTGTCGGGTCAGTTTGTTTATAGCTTAAATTCTACTTACCGTGTAGTGGCGGTGTAATAATATCCAGAGGTTGCTTGAATTACGCAGTACGCTACCATCGCTGGTTTTATCTCACCGGCGTTTATGACATTTCTTAGTTCTCATTCACCACATGCTCGTCGGTGAAAGAAAACATCATGAGGAAACCTACATTTCTGAGGAACATTATAATTTTTTTTAAATGAGAAGTAAGATATGAGATTGACGAGCACACAGTCCACCTGATGATAAGTGGATGCTGTGGCCCATAGACATCTACATTTATCCTTGAATAAGAAACAAAATGCAGATGCGTCGTCACCCCTGAAGTTTTTTTTATACTAAGTCTATTGAAATGCTCATATTTCGCCGACAGACTCGCCCGCGGACAGTTGAGGACGAAGATAGAGTCCGGAGAAGGCACGATTCCCGTAAAGAACTGCAACAACTTCATCCAAACCTGGGATGGAGTTTTGCAGGTGAGTTTAATGTTTCAAGCTTTAAATGTTTTACCCGTTTAAGGTTAGGTAGATGAAATTTCTAGTCTTAACTCTTCAATTCCCAGAGTCGCTTGTAGGTGACAAAAGATATTTTTTTTTTCTAACACAATTTTATTTTAATTTCTACCACTATTGTAACAAAGCCATTTAGTGACACTTCATATTTTTTATTCCAACACTAACCATACGTCATTTACGAGGGCGGCACTGAAAATTTCGGGAATCAAGGAAGTGACACAACATTACTATTTAAAAATGTATTTATTGCTTTTCGAAGTATTCTCCGCGAAATTTGACACATTTTGCCATACGATGTAACCAATCATTGAAGCAACCATTCCATTCGGAAGTTGGGGTCTCCAAAATGGCCGTTTTGTAGGCGTCCACAACTTCTTCAGGTGATGAAAATCTCTGTCCACGCAATTTATTCTTTATTTTAGGGAAAGTATAGAAATCATTAGGGCTTAGGTCGGGGCTGTACGGCGGATGGTCTACTAATTATATGTTTTCTTGCTCTAAAAACTATTTTGTTCTGTGTGCGGTGTGAGAACTCGCATTGTCGTGATGGAGGATGATGCGGCGGTTGCAGTTCTCTTTACGGAGTTTAGAAACGACCTGTGGCAAACAAATGCTAGCATACCATTCTGCATTAACCGTTCTTTGTCCCTCAAGAGGAATAGTCGTAACATGACCGGTTTTGGAGACAAACGTGGTCACCATTTTTATTTGCAACACTTTTTTTGCTTTAACTCATTTTCGAACACCCAAACTCGTGACTGGTTTTTTGTTTCGGGTTCGTACACGTATATCCAGGATTCGTCACCTGATACGATGTTGTATACAGCATTTGAGGATCCTGCGTGGAATCTTTCGAGAGTTCTGACGCACCAAGTAACGCGAGCCGCTTTTTGCTCTTCACAGAGCGAATGCGGTATCCATCGGAAAAACAACTTTTTTACACCTAATTGTTCATGCAAGATTATTTGTATTTGACTCATGTCAATATCTAAAGTTGCCTGAATTTCGCGATATGTCACATGTCGATCTTCCTCAATCAGCTTACGCACAGCATCAACGTTTTCTTGGGTGACTGCAGTTTTTGGACGACGTTGACGGGGATCATCACTGAGCTTGACACGTCCACGTTGAAATTCAGCAAACCAGTGATAAATTGTGGTTTTGGATGGGGCTTCATCACCACATGCAGAAATCATCCGGTCAACACACTGTTTTTGTGTTAAACCACTTCGAAAGTCATAATAAATCATCGCTCTTGAATTTTCTCGAGTCAATTCCATTTTCTCAACGACTAAACAAGTTTGACAAAACCTTTTGACAAGACCGAGAATCTTTTTTTAAATAAATAAATGGTATTCGATTTTTAAAACCAAGGACTTTTCAATTAAAAAGATTTTAATATGACAGGAACAGTGGAAATATTCCATTCCCGATACTTTTACTGCAGCCTATGTATTAAATTCATTCGGTTGTTTCGCTCGTAATTGACGCAGTGCGTGTTTGTTTGTTTGATTTCTTGCGACACAAAGTGGAATAAAAATGTTCAGATTGTAAATATTGTTTTTTTTTCTTATTAACTGTAATAAATTACATTTTACGATAAAAATAACTTATAGTATCATTGCTACAACGTTGGAAATACGCCGCGGCACGTGTGGGCGATATTGGGGAATATAATAACTTTTGTTCGGAATTCATTAGAAGTAATAACAATTAACGGTTAATTACGATATTTTAGGGTACTTGAGTACTTGTTTACGCATTAAAGGTTGACGTTAGATGAGATTGCCGAGGAGTTACAGGCGATGTTATTTATTTCCTCCTGATGATGGTGTGGTAACTGACGAAGACGGTGGAGATGAAAATGATACTAATATTCTTCGTCGTCCTAGTCATATGATTCGATCTCAATTAGAACTACAAAATAGACCTTCCGTCTCTGGAGAAAATCGTGTACATGAGTTGGAAGAAGAAGAAATCTACGTACCTGTACCGAATAATTTTTTATACATGGGTGAGCCATGTTGCAGCTATATTAATAGTATAGTTGTAGCATGAATGGGTCGGTTCGACCAGGGAAGGACCACACTCTCACAGAATACCAGCGTAAAATGGCAATTTAATGCTCCTGTGTTTCGTATGGTGAGTGTAGAAAACCGGAGACCCTATTTACTGAAAAACAGACATTCCATCTTAGTCCTCACGGGTGAAAACTCATCTGAATTTTGATTCGCAAACGTGGAAAGTTGTAGATGTCCATGAGTTACAGCAACCACTCACCATCAGGTGGATTCTGTGCTTGTTTGTCAACCTTATCCTATAAAAAAGGACAACACTATAAAAAAGGGATATAGCAATGTCAGCAATACTTCTTTTACTAATTGTGGTAAAGGAAACCGTGATGAAGAAATTTTTACTAACTTCCAGGAGTAGATAACTGCCGTCGAATGTTTCGACATAGCGACGACATAGTAAAATTTATAGCCGATATGGTTAATTTTAACTCTTTACAAAGAAATCACACTGTAAATGTAACTTCGGATGAACTTAGAGTGTACGTTGGAATACTGCTACTAATAGGATATTGGACGCCAAAGTACACGAGAAAGTTCTGGGAAGAAATAATGACACGCACAATGACCTAGTAACATATAGCTTAAGGCGCCATAGATGTTTCGGAATTCAACAATATCTTTGTCTCTCCGACAGTACACCCTTGTCGCCTAACGACATATTTGCTAAAGTTCAAGAATATTTCACGCTACTGAACGTAAATTTCACCAAAAATTTCAAAAAAGCTGGATCTTCACACATTTCAATAGACTATACCATACTAAGGGAGACATGGTGCCAAGTAACATATCCACGGAAAACCTATAAGGTTTGGTTACAACTTCTGGTCAGCAGCTACATGCCATGGATATTTAGCAAATTGTGAGCCTTATCAGGGCGCGTCCGGCCCTGGCCTCAAGATACAGTCCGACTTGGGCCTAGGAGCTGCTGTTATTTAAGAGCGTCATTGTAAATTGCCACAAGAGTTAGGACCATACAACTTATACTTTGATAATATTTTTACTGGTTTACCATCTATACTAAAATAATAAAGAGGAAAACGAAGTTCCTTATCGGACGGTACGGGTTAGGCGGATGAGAACTAGGCGACAAAAAGTGTAAGATTTTTTCGACACGACCCCTTGTGCCATAGTGTAGACGACCTTGGCGGCGAAATAAGGAAGTGGGATGGAATAATATCCATCTCCCTCGCACTTTTTCTTATCATGCCATGAAAGAAATATTATTCTATTTCAAATGACGCTTCATTTTAATAGATGCTAGTAATTCATTTATTTGTATTTGTTAATCAATAATATAATATCTACGTTTATCAATAATAATATACTACGCAAGGAACTTGGTTCCAACCGAGTGTTCCACGACACTCACGCATTTTTTAAATTTTTTTTTAATCTTTTCTAAGCTTTGGAACTACCTGTCCGATTTAAATAAATATTTTTATGTATGATAGTCATGAGGAATAATATAAGCTATCTAGAAACAGGCTACTTTTCTCAGCTGTCATTCAATATTAAATTTTGTTAAGCAAGTCGGAAGAAAAAGAGCTCCCGAACAGCTTCATCCGCGTGCCCTGGCGTAATGGTTAGTGTTTACTTCTAATCAAGTGGTGAAATTAAAAAAAAAATTGTACAACCGACTTGAATATAAATAAAATGAGAACATCATCAATGTAGTCGAAGTCAATTACATACACATTATTATGAATAACTCAAAAACTACTGGTCAGATCTTGATCAAATTTATATGACGCTTCTCTGTGTGTGATTCATTTCACAACGTTTCTGCCGACCAAGCGAGAAGAGTTAACTAATTGATATGACTGGCAGGACAATTTTATCTTACTGAACAGTCCTAGAACTAAAAGGTTAAGAACGTAATATTGTCAGGAATTTGTCTTTCGCACGAGGTCTCGCGTAATATACCTACCGGCTAGTGTATTCTCAGGAGTACAAGTATCAGTAACAGGAGACTTTAATACGATGGTGGATTGCAAAGTACTCGGCCTAACACAGATCCATTCAATTCTAAAAATCAAATCTACCCACATTATTTAGTTCAGTTCAGACTAGTTCATTGTGTGAAGTTCGAAACGTGTGCGATAATTAGTTGTGATTTTATAAATTTATTAACAAAGTAATCGGACATAATTTCCGCGAATGGAGCAAATCGAGCAGCGTGCCGTCATTAAGTACCTCCATAAGAAGGGGCTATCATCAAAAGCCATCCATGATGACATGGTCAGTACATTAGGCGATTGTGCTCTGTCATATTCATCCGTCAAAAAATGGATAGCAGAATTTAAGCGTGGTAGAGAGAGTGTGAAAGATGAACCCCGCTCTGGAAGGCCTTCGATGTCAACTACTGACGAAAATATTAAAAAAGTACTTGATTTAATAATGGGAAACCGCAGATTAAAAATTAGAGAGATAGTCGAGATTATAGGCATCTCTTATGAACGAACTCAAAACATCATTGTCAACGAGTTGGGTTTCCACAAGGTGTCTGCGAGGTGGGTTCCGCGACTGCTTTCAGTTGAACAAAAAAGGACGCGATTGACTATTTCACGCGACTGTTTGGAGTTATTTGAAGCCGATGCAGATGATTTTTTGAATCGTTTTGTTACTATGGACGAAACACGGGTTCATTACTGTACACCGGAAACAAAACAACAATCAAAACAGTGGAGAAGACCTGGTTCACCACCCCATAAAAAGGCTAAGTCGATTTTGTCGGCAAATAAGGTGATGGCTTCAGTATTCTGGGACTCGAAAGGTGTGATTATGATTGATTATCTTGAAAGGGGTCAGAATATAAACTCTGATTACTACTGCACCTTACTACGTCGTTTACGAGAGGAAATAAAAGAAAAACGTCGAGGAATGCTC